TTTTATTTTAGTATGTGGTGGAAGTTATAAAATAGATAACTAAAGACCAAACTGGTGAGAGGCTTTTTGGCTCTCCAAATGAATTCCTTCCTTGAAATATATGGCCCAATCTAATCGAATGTTTAAAAACAAGCTGTTGACGKTCCCTATCAACATGAATTCCGTTTTGCATTCGTTAAGCTTCAATTTATCGGTTAATATCAATACCCTGATGGCTTTAACACGTTGTTCTTATAGTCTATTGTCGCATTTTCAATCAGCATACAGTCAATTACGTTGAAATTAAAGATAAATAAAGCTGAGTATCATAGGCATAAAGTTGTTTAAGGATTTTCGGTACATGTTGTTAATTTGAGGCGTTAGAAAGGGACAGGCAGAAGTTTTAAACCTCTTTTAATATATTCAATGAGTTTTCATTCACAGTACAAAATGAGGTTCTTCGTGGTCGTGTTACTCGTGTCCTTGGCTGTGTTCGTTTCTCCCGTCATCAAGCCGGCGTGTGGACAGAAAAACAAGCAAGCCGGACAGGTAAGCTAATGATTTCATTAACAATTAAAATAGAAGCCCGAACGATTGGCTGTTGACTTGAAGACCATGAGAGCGAGAGTTTCATTGTTTAATTTAGTCAAAACCTACTAATTAGTCACATACATGGATTAAAATAATTGTGAAATTAGGTTGAAAACGTGACTTTAAAAGGACGGTGCCTGCTAATTGAGAATAAATAATATTTTTAAATGACTATGCGAATTGTTTTATCCTATCAAAGGGCTGTAAAATTCTGTTAGAAAAGTAGGGATCACCATACATTTAAAAGAAATAAACAAGCTTAAAGAATCGTTAAAAAGTGATGACGTCATGATTTTACTAACACGAGAAAAAAAATTTTTTTTCAAAAGATTTTGATAAATTTCCATTCTAAATCCACCTAAAGGACTGACAATTTGTTTCTTTACTGAAATAAACCCCTACTACCATGACTCTAACAGTTGGCTTTAAAATATATAACTTCTTAGCTTCGTACTCCCTATTTTGCAATCATTAGGTACATATAGATTATGCCCATATTCTTTTAAAAAGCAATTATTGAGGTTAATTAAATATTAATTTGGCATTTCCTTATAATTTAAACAAAGAAAAAAATAGAAGTATCCAGAATTTTTTAATAGATACGTCTTATACCGAATGCGAACCGAATGCGTGACAAGCGTTACATAGCATACAAAACGGCGTGACAACACTGCTTTTGGCGCGTTTGCACCGTCAAGCTAAAGCATGACGCTTCCCTGCCATCCAAGCCAAAAACACAGAAAAAAAATCTACATTCTATATTAAAATTCCAAGAAGACTATTGGGTTAGAAGTGAAGTTACTGTTGATTTTTTACTTTAATGAAGAATGGAATTTTTCAAATATTTAGTATGTAATAAGGTAGTTTCTCCAATGAAAACTCATGTTAGAGCCGAAATATGGCCATTTGCGGAGTTTTGATTCAAAAAACTCCATAACATTTTATATGGGCCTTAATAGTAGTTAGTGCCCAAGCTCGCGCGGCCAAAACATCGAAATCATAAGATTTTTCACACCTTTTTAGCTTATAGCTCCGAATACAGTACGGTGACACCCAACTTTTTTTTAGATTCCGCATTGCACATAAAACAATCTTTTAAATTCTTGATAAAAAATTAAATGTCCTTCCAAGGCAAAACATGGTAATTTTGACTTTTTTTGAGATGATGTATACAAGAAATTCATGGAGTACCACTTTCAAATCTCCGTGAAATAGCTCAACCCATGCTGTCCCAATGGAATAAATTGATGAAAAATATAGCATGAAGAGTATTTGGCTGTAATCATAAAGCAATTTTATAAAAATCATATACACTTTGTCGCGAAAGTTTTTTTCTGGAAATTTAATGTTCCATTTTTTAGCTCAAATAGGACAAAAATGGGTCTAATACTACCCCCCACAGTTTCAAAACGAACACGATGACCCCTATTTTTTATTGCATTTTTGACTTTTATATATGTTAGTCTTTTCTATCGAAGKTAGAATAGTGGGAGTACCAAACTACCTTAAATATGATAATTTTAACTGGTTCATTACAAAGACATTATGTAAAAAGCATCGGCGTTATACTCATGGTTTTTACAGTGTTTATAAAGTGCTCTTGGAAAAGAAGTTTCCAAAATACATTAAAGATCACTAGTAACTAGCTAATCCGTGCTCGAAGAAAAGACTGGGTCGAGTTGGTATTGCAGTGCCTTCTGGGGCAGTTTTATGTAGAATATTTTCAAGATGGTGGTATTTCGTCCCCAAAATTGTCCAAAAAAAGAAACTTCAATGCCAACTCGACCGAGTTTTTCCCTCATATTCGGAATGGCTAATAAATACCGCGGTTGTCGGATGTGCAACGAACTCGGCTTCGCCTCGTACAATATTCAGCGCGTGCATGTATTTGGAAACAAAACACGCTCACATACCAGTCTCTAACGCCTATTCAAAACATGAGCATCATACTTTTTAGTCAACGTCAAATTTTTCATGTCTGGCGGGTCGTCCTGGTATCCCTGGACTCCACGGTACGCCCGGTGCTCCTGGACGAGACGGACGAGATGGCAGACCAGGTACTCAAGGTAAACAAGGTCCTCGAGGGTTTCACGGGACTCCAGGCAAGCAAGGACCTCCCGGAGCTGCTGGTGCACCCGGCAACATTGGTCCTCAGGGTCTTTCAGCCTATTCCAACTGGAAAGAATGTTCGTGGACAAACGTCAACGAAGGAAAAGACAATGGTCTGATCAGAGTATGTATGTAAATTTCACGAAAACATGCTCTTTTATCTAGTATTTGATTCAACAACCCTTCCTATATTTTTCCTTTGTTTGCTGTGGCTCTCTTCACATTTAAGAATCCTTTATTAGCTTCAAAGGCTTTTTCATTAATATTTGTGTGGGTATTTATCTGACACAAAAGGAGCATCTATCTGTTATACTATGTGTTATAGATTGATAGATTGATTTATTCGTGCTCTCGCTAGTACAAGTTCTGAATCACTGTTTACAAACTAGATCATTATATATCAGATTACAGTCACGTGATCAGTATGGCATTAACAATCAGATATATGACATCTCTCTTTTTCTAAAGGTTATCAATAAGAGATGATAGAATATGAAATTTGAGTATACGGTTTTGATAAGGTTAAATCACGTAGTAATCAAGTCATAATAAACAAACCCATGATAATAGATAAATGTTCAATTGTTCAAGGAATGTCTAAAATTAAACATNTTTGACTTTTTTTGAGGTGATGTATACAAGAAATTCATGGAGTACCACTTTCAAATCTCCGTGAAATAGCTCAACCCATGCTGTCCCAATGGAATAAATTGATGAAAAGTGAAAAGTTTAGCGTGAAGAGTATTTGGCTAGAACCATTAAGCAAATTTATACAAATCATAAACAATTTGTCGCAAACATTTTTTTTCTGAAAATTTAATGTTCCATTTTTAGCTCAAATAGGGCAAAAATTGACCTAATACCACCCTTCACAGTTTCAAAACGAGCACATTGACCCCTATTTTTCATTGCATTTTTGACTTTTATATATGTTATTCTTTAAGTAGAAAAAGTTATAAAAAATTCTATCGAAGGGAAGTGTGAGTGCCAAACTACCTTAAATATGATAATTCTAACTGGTTTCACTACAAAAACCTTATTTAAAAAGCATCGGCGTTATACTCATGGTTTTTACAGTGTTTATAAAGTACTCTTGGAAAAGAAGTTTCAAAAATACATTAAAGATCACTAGTAATTAGCTAATTCCAGCTCGAAGAAAAGACTGGGTCGAGTTGGCATTGCAGTGCCTTCTGGGGCAGTTTTATGTGGAATATTTTCAAGATGGTGGCTATTTCGTCCCCAAAATTGTGCAAAAAAAGACACTGTAATGCCAACTTGACCGAGGTTTCTCCTTATCCTCGGAACGGCTAATAAATACAGCATTTGCCGACTGAGCAACGAACTCGGCTCGCCTCGTTCAATATTCAGCGCGTGCGTGTATTTAGAAACAAAGCACACTCGCATCATTCTCTAACGCCTAATCAAAGCATGAGCATCATACTTTTTAGTCAACGTCATGTCTGGTGGGTCGTCCTGGTATCCCTGGACTCCACGGTACACCCGGTGCTCCTGGACGAGACGGACGAGATGGCAGAACAGGTACTCAAGGTAAACAAGGTCCTCGAGGGTTTGACGGGACTCCAGGAAAGCAAGGACCTCCCGGAGCTGCTGGTCCACCAGGTAACACTGGTCCTCAAGGTCCTAAGGGTGACGCTGGTCCAAAAGGAGAAAAGGGGGAACCTGGGGCGAGAGGACTCTCAGCCTATTCGAACTGGAAAGAATGTTCGTGGACCAAGATCAACAAACAAAAAGACAATGGGCTGATCAGGGTATGTACGTAAATTTAGCAAAACATGCTAATAGTTGTCAACCCTTCCCATCTATTTTGTATTCAAAATTTTCTTTTAGGAGATAAAAACATCTGAAATATCAATATGCAAATGAGATGACGTAAATTCAAGACGAATTTATTATACCAAAACGCTTTTGTGGAAAGTACTCCGGTTTTTTATTTGCAAATCATCCTTATGACTGAAATATATGGCTTTATTATATACCAAGTGTCAAAGTTCAATTTTCCTTAATTTCTATTGGTCGAGAGTGTGTCACGTGAACGTGAAAAAATTCGACTGTTTCCTGGCGACCATTCTGGGAGGGGAATATTATGTTATGGACCGGGAATAACAAAACCGGAACTCACGTGATTGAAAAAAATATAAAAACCACAAAGCAACACATTTGAGCGCGCGTTTGCAAAATTCATTCACACGCTTTCTTTCACAGATTAAATATGAAGTCTTCCCGATTTTCTTGCCGCGGAGAGGTGGAAATATCCAAGTTACTAGAAAACAAGGATTCTAAATCCATAAAAAAATCGACTAAACAAGCAGTCAAGATTTTACGAGAATTTTGTGAGGAAATATGCCAACTTTTGACACATTGATTTTCTTCGTAAAGAAGTGCATATTTATTAAGTTGTAGGTTTGCTTTGACTACGGCTACGCACAAGTTGTGTATTAAATAACAACATTAAAAATCTCATTCATTTCTCCATTTTTGTTTTGTTCCCTTTGACACTTGGTATGATAATAAAGCACTTATTTACTGGAACCGAGGGAAAGCAGTATGTTTTGTGGTCCCTCGACCGCTGATGTTTCTCGGCCGCGCCTCGGGGAACATCAGCTATCAGTTGTCTCGGGACCACAAAACACAGTTTCCCTCGGTCCCAGTAAATAAATGCTAATTGTACATTTTTAGGTTACTTCACTTCAGAACACTTGTCGTAAATTACATTGCAAAATGTAACCCATTCTTGAATTTATGACATCTCATTTGCATATTGATATTATAAATGTTTATATCTCTGAAAATAGAAGTGCACATACAAAAATATTGCGACCATACTACTACAACTGTTCAAATATAAATGATTTTGAAAATAATGTCTTTCCTTCATATACACTTTAAACTTTCCTATGAACTTTTTCGTTCGATACCTTTATACAGGATTGTCTTTTCTGCAAGAATTTCACGGATTCCATCCTCCATGTTTACTGGAATGGCGATTTTAGAATTCATAATTGTAACGACTGTTGTAAGCGCTGGTTCTTCACGTTCAACGGTGCTGAATGCAAGAACCCTCGTGCTATTGATGGCATCGTGTACATGAGAAAAGGAGTGGGTCACAACATTCACCGTGTCCGCCATATTGAAGGTCACTGTGACAAGATCCACAAGGGACATGTTCGTGTGGGTTTCAATGTCGGGAACTGTGCCGGGTATGGAAATGTTGACGCCTGGACTGGGTGGAACTCAAACAGTCGTCTTTTCGTAGAGGAGGTACCCAGACCCCAGCCGTAGAACTATCCATTTCCTACAAAACGTAAGCCACACTGATTGAATGCGAAGTCTAATAAAACACTATAACAAGCACTTTGAGATGTTGTTTAATCCATGCAGTGTTAGTTAAATAAAATAGAAATAGAATAAACGTCAAAAAATAAATGTTACCATTATCGTTCACTATATTGTTGTGAAGTAATATCCCTATTTAATGCCGCAAAAATATTTTAAGACATTGTGTTGTACTGAAATTAAATACAGAAAGGAGTTGATCAGAGGCAGGTTTTACCAAGCAAACATCGTAGATTCTCGTACCTGATCTCATGGCTAAACAAATTCATGGACCCCTCGACACTGACTGGGGCTGAGTTAGAGGCAGGTTTTACCAAATGTACATCGTAGATACTCGTACCTGATGTCAAGGCTAAACAAAGTCCATTAGTCCATTACACTGACGAGAGTTGTGTTATAGGCGGATTAATGAAGTATTGGTTATTGTTTGGCAGTCAGCCGGTTAGTTGCATGAGGCCAGTGATGCTGAAGCCTCCTTTTTGTCATTTTTGTCTACTACGTACTACATTTTTGTCATACTACTGCTACTACTGCTAATACTACGACCAACTTTCCCCCCCCCCCCTCCTCCCCCTCCTCCCACTACCACCAAAAAAATGTCATCGTTTATCACCACCGCAAGTACAGCAGTGGCGCAGCTCAACAACATCGAACTGTGACCATGTGAAGGCGCCTCTGGCAGCCGCTACACAGTCCATGTCTGACACCGGAGCACAGCTCTAACCAGTTTGAGTAAGTTAGGGTTGATTTTGAGACGAAGGAGGAAACAGCGGAAAATCCTTGGAGTCAGAAAGAGAACCAACTAACTCAGCTCACATGGGGTGACTGGGATTGGAACACCGGATCTCAGAGGTGAGAGGCGAGCGTCTTACCACTACGCCATCCTCAATTCCCAACATTTTACCACCAACACCACTTCTACTACTACTACTAACACCACCACCACCACCACCACTACTACTACT